CCCCTGACAGCCTGGTGACAGGGGTATAACGCAAAGATTTAAATCCAAAGGTTCATTTCAACCGATTTTTGAAATGCTAGAAGGGGTATTCCGCTCTACCCTCATCTTGTGGGGGTATTTTTTTTTTATAGCAAATACCTCAGTTTTCAGGGGTATTTCACAAATTTCCCCTTCTTAATTACCCTTTTTGACAAACAAAACTGGTCCATTCAGTGGGCCACGTCTACAGCTTGTGAGCGGCGAAGTTTTTTTTAATTTTATTTTCTATTTTCCTTTTACTGCGGACGATGCGCCTGTGGAGGGCTTCCGCCTTTCAGGGTTCTTCTTCTCCTCCTCCTTCTTCCTTTTTTTTATTTTTATTTTTTTTAATTAAATGGCCCGATGGACCACGGATCAGATATTCAACTAATCAAAAACATGAAACATGATACTACACTTAAGATCTTACTTAGCCAATGCCACCTCATGAGCTAAGCACCCATCATCGGCGCGCACATTCGAAGGCCAAGAAGACCTCTTTTAAGCGGTCCAAAGGCTGTCTCCACCCTTGCCAGCTGGGATCCCGACCCAGACGGTTGCTATGGCTACCACTGCTGCTGCTTCTCTCCATCTGCTTGCGATGGCTTATGCGCGTATAAAGGTGCTAAACCCTTTATACACCCTTCGACCACAGGAGAGGGGGGTATAAATACCCCATTCAGCTCGTATAAGGGTGCTAAACCCCTTATTCATACCCCCTTAAAGCCCCTTAAAGCCTTGCTTCCTATTGTCATTGCCATAAGATAAAAACAAAAGAATTACTGTATGTCACGATCCCCGCCCGCCCAGGGGACAACCGGTCTGCATCCCTTGTGTTTTCCATTCTCGCCCCCCATTCTTTTCCTTCCTGTGCTCATCTTCTGCTATGGATGGATATAAGCCTTTTTCTTTGTCCGCATTTTTTCACCTCCTTCCTCACCTTTCTCTCTCTTCTCTCTCTTCTCCTTCTTTCACATTCTTTACCTGCATTTCTCCCAATCCCTTTTGCATCTCGTCCCCATCGAGCTCTACCGGCCACCTGACTCCCTTTCGTTGCCTCCATGCCTCCATTTGCCTGGGCCTATTCAATCTTGTCCTACTTTTGCCTCTCTTTTACTTCGTTTGATTTCGACTTTCGGCTCCTAAAGATACACACAGAGGAGGAGGACGTAGAGAGAGGGAGACCCAACACACATGGAGAGAGAGAAGGCAGATGTGCGTGTGTGTGTGTGTGTGTGCTGTCTCTTATACACATCTAGATGTGTATAAGATACACCTCCCATTGTGTCCCTCCTCCTGCTGGTCTGCG